AGAAGAAGAAGAAGAAGAAGAAGAAGAAGAAGAAGAAGAAGAAGAAGAAGAAGAAGAAGAAGAAGAAGAAGAAGAAGAAGAAGAAGAAGAAAAAGAGCTCAGAAAATTTTGTAAGGAAAGATTCTGGATTCAAACTCTATTTATAGAGTTGATGGCATTGTTTCTGAAAAGGTTTGTAACCTTTCAGAAATAGCCATGGCTGTTGGAAAAGGGGTATTTGAAATATTGTGGGAAAAAAGTAGGGAAAGAAAACGAGCCTGACCGCGGTCATGGGTTATTTCGGATTTAATTTTTTGTTATTTATTTAATTAATTAATTAAATAATTGAAAGAAATTTTGTCCAAAAAGATTAATCAATCAATCGTTGACCGAAGCCGAACCCGAAGCCGAGCCGAGCCGAGCCGAGCGAGCAACGACGGCGACGCGAGGCTTGCCTTTTTCTTAACTCTTTAAGAGCTAGAAGAAGAGCAATTATATATATACCCATCAAAAGTCTTTTCTTCCTCCGATATGGGACAATGTCCCTTTCCAAAGGAAAACTCAAATATTTCATTTTTCCTCCATTTCTCATTCACCCTCTTTAAGCTACACAAGCTTAAAATCCCAACAGAAACAATCAAGGTCTAAATAGGCAATTAGAAGGAAGATTCCAATCACTAGTTGATTGTTATTATACTACTAAATTTTAGTTAGTACAAAAAGAAAGGGATTTGGCTCACCTCCTGTACAGGATCTCTCCATTTCCATCAATGCATATTTAATTTAATGACACTTGTCATTTTTCCGATCTAAGGGCCAAGGTTTATTTAGAATAAATCTTAGTTAAATTAAATATTCTTTTGCTGGATTAGAATGAAAAATAATTTTCTTTTGCACATTTTTTTTTCTGTTCTGATTGGACAGACAAAATTAGTTAGTCAGAGAGGAAACATATTTTCTTACCAAGATTAAAACTAAAAAATCCTATATTGATTTTTTACATATTGATTAATTATTTACATATTGATTAATTACAACCATAAATAAACTACAACAAGCAATAAATCTATGTTTCTGCTTATGCAAACCTTAAAGCAGAATACAACACTAGGGATTCAAAATGCCAAAAGCAGAGATAAAGCAACAAAGCTGAACGAAACTAATTCCATTAACTTCATTATCCATATGCGTCTTCCATCAGAGATACGTTTCCTATCCAAAGCAATCCAAAGTTCAAAAGAAATACCTGGACTGGAGCAAAAGCAACAAGAAAATAAGACACTGGTTTTGGCGAAGTCCAGCTTAGAGCAGCAAAGATAAGTAAAAGAGAAAATAAATCTCCAAAAAAATTGGGCAGAAATAGCAGCAAGAAAAGCAGCAGCAGAAAACCAACAACACAACAGCTTCAAACTCAAACCCAGAAATCCAGAAATGACTCAAAATCAGTATGAGATGAGAGTAGAAATGAAAAATAAAGAGTGAATTCTGTGTGTGTCTCCCTGTGAGTGAATATGCAAATCCCTTTTTTTTTCGTCCCCCAGAATGTGAGGAAGAGTCCTCTTTTATAGAATGTAAGAGTGTCCTTTGTATGAGGGAGAGGGAGCCTGAGAATATTCTGTTAGCGTGAATTTAGAAAAAATGGCCGAGGGGAGGAAATCTTTTTCTAACTGAAAAATGCCAGCTGCCACTTCTAGAAGCAGACTATCTGCTTAGGTTTGGGCCAAATGCTATGACCTAAATGGCCCAAGACCAAGCCCAGATCCGACCTCAAAGAAAACAGCCCACAAAGAGAATGAAACAACACATGCCATATTTCGAATTTCAAATATAATCAGAGATTTTACTAAATACTTAACTTTTAATTAATCTAAATCAGTTTATTAGTTAAACTAATTGAGCATGCAATTAACAACGAAGTTTAATTAACCAACTGAAAAGAAAAGGAAGGGAGAAAGAAAAGAAAAAGAGCAAGAACAAATGAGGAAAAAGAATACTAATTTAAACGCTAAAGAAATGAAGAAACGAAACAAACCGACAAGCAACGGGAATGATGAACTCTAGCCACGAACGATGAATAGACCGGACCCCGGTAACTTCGAAATGGGTCGAAACTAACCTAAAATAATTACTCTCATCAAGATCACTCGATTCATGTGAGTCTCGAACCAAAACAAGCAGAAATACCAAAGCAATTTAAAACATATCAAACTAGGATTTTTCTGGAATTTTAGATCTAAAATTTGCTAATTTTGGTGGGGTTTCTAATGAGATTGATGGGGGATTAGGGATTATGAGGGTATGAGGGTTATAGGGTGCGAGTTTGAGGAGATTTGGAGTGGCGCTGCCGGTGTGGGAACTTTGGGCGGCTAGGGTTCCGAGTGAGTTTGAGAGAGAGAGACGAGGGGTTTGGGGGCGGCTAGGGTTTGGTGAGTGAACGAGAGGGAGAGGGAAATGAGAGGGGTCTGAAGGGTTT